ACCGACGTTTCGGAGGAACGTCGGTTAACACCACATATACACGGTGACAAATCCCAGAAGACTGCTTTCTTCATAGTCACTGCCGTGAAAGCCTCAAAGCTTACAAAGAGCTAAAATATCTCCCATTGGCTTCACCATGTTTCTCTGTCTGCATGTAACAACTTGAGAACTGTTCAGCGCGTGTATTGGAGTTTTTATTTCAGGGTGTTTTTACTGAAATTTATCAAAACAATTCTCCGGGTTTTGTTTATATTTCACAATCTTCAAAGTCATTGATTAAACAAAGGGTATTTTTATGCTCTGTCATCTCATGATATGCTGAAATTAATTTGATCAACTGTTGTATCGGAGGCCCTTGCCCATTGGTCCACCTGTTTTATGCTACTTTTTGGATTCATGGGCTGGAAATCTAAAGGCAGTACCAAACAACAAATGTGCCAGAATTGTTAACTGTGTTGTACCTATATTTCACAGCGTGTGTCAAGAGTGCTGTGTACTGGATGTGACACCATACAGTCTGATAGAAGTCATGTCAGTGACGACACAGTTCTTACCCAAAAAGGATGGAACATGTTGACGCAATGAAGATTCCTGAGTTCAGCATGAATTTAGGTCCAATGAAGTCCAGCTAGAAAAAGAAAAACATCAGAATGTTTTGAATTGGCCCCTTGAAGTCTTTCATTCTATAGTTGTTATTATGAATTCTTATTTTGACATTGGTTTTGTGCTGTTGTACTGCACTATGATTCATGGTGATTTAGTAAATACCTTCACATTACAGCACAACAATATTTAGTGCTCAGTACCCTCACGTGTTTCAACTATCTCAGAAGTCATCTTCAGGGTTGTTCTCTTAACCAGTACTTTCAGTACATCCACTGGTAGAGACATTAAAGTTGTTATATTTATTTACGATAGCTGTCAAATGAAATCTGTTTGAAGGTTGTTTTAGACCAAGATGTAGAGGCTGGCAAAAATGGTTTCCATGGGCCGTGAGGCTTGCATCCTATTGGTGTACCAAACATTTCATTCAATGCATAAAACAACTCCCCAAGCTGCTGCTGCGGCAACTATACCACCACAGCTCTGACACCTTCATCGGACCCAAATCTATGGCCCTTGGATCGTCAGACCCTGGCATCACCATCAGTGCACGTGGCTATTGTTGAGCCCTTCGAGACCTTCATATACTGCCATCAAGAGAAAGCATCCCTCTGTGCTCCAAGCGTGTCATTGTGTTGCATGACGGTTCCTGTCTCCATGTGGCCTGCACCATCCAGAAAATGCTGGGCTCGATGAGCTGGAAGGCGTTGGACCTGTCACCATGTGATTTCCATGTGTTCAGCCCCCTTAGGATGCACTGAAGGCTTGCAGATTTGGGTCAGATTAAGGTCAAGGCTGTGGTGGAACAATGGTTCCAGGGAGTTTTTTGTAGAGGGGTTCCATCAGCTGGTGCCACCGTGGGATGGATGGATGGATGGATGCCTGCCTGCCTGCTCACCTGCCCGCCTATGGTTCTGGGGAGTTTTTTGTAGAGGGGTTCCATCAGCTGGTGCCACCGTGGGATGGATGGATGCCTGCCTGCCTGCTCACCTCCCCGCCTATGGTTCCGGGGAGTTTTTTGCAGAGGGGTTCCATCAGCTGGTGCCACCATGGGATGGATGCCTGCTTGCCTGATCACCCATGTGGATAATTTTGATGGGCTCTACCCATCTGATCAGGACAGTCCCTGAATGGGTTTCATTTTAAGAAGTGACCTCATGCATACACAGTGAATAATATGACTGAATTGCGTAAAGTCCTATGTCAGTATCTCATCATTCCAGGTGGCCAGACATGAGAGGGAATTCCAGACGATCGAGTCCATAGACAGCACCAAGAGCTGATTTCTATGCTGGACCTAATTCAAACCTCATAGGATGCACTGACAAATGCCATGACAACGCATGAAGATTCACACATATTGTAAACCCTTGCTAGTCTGGTTCGAAATATAAAAAAATGAAAAATGCTGTTCACAGTTGAGTACATACTTAGCATTTAGGAAGGCAGATGAGTCACTTGTGTGTTCAGACACAACTTGACAGTCTCTTCAAACCTGCATCATTACGTTCAGAAACAAGTACAACTTCTGAGTCTTCTATCGATGAATAAATATATCATCATTTTATAATTTTTAAATAAAGACTGCAGTGATATTTTGTTATTTATTTTCACCAGCAGTGCTGGTATCATTACATTTGCCATTTTTTGTGTTCTGAGTTTTCTTTAATCTTTTAGGGCTACTTTTGCTTCACTAATCCAGATGGCCTCCTCCCCCCTATTAATCTGGATTATTGAGGGTTTACTGTACTGATATGGAAACTAGTGCAATATATATGTTTTGCTGTACTTGTTATGTGTCATACAAATTGTAATTTCGAAGTAACTTGTTATGTTTGAGATATAATTGAGATTATCAATAAAGCAACACAACATCAGGGAGATGTTAGGGAACTCCCAGACCACTGGCTGCAAGTCAGTGCAACTTTTGCATTTCACCATACTACCCTCAGCAGAAGGTCAAGTTTCCAATTTCTCTGGTTCTTCTGCTGTTTCCTACTTTGTGCCTCTCTGTACAATGGCTGTTTTATTTAATGATGCTGTCAGTATGTAAGGCCATGTAGTGTCAAATTGTAGGATGATCAGGGAATTATGAATTGGGAAAGATGTGGATTTAAGTGGTCACGGTCTAAGTTGCCTGGATGCACTGAGGAAGAACACAAACATAAACATAAATGGGTGGCTTTCATGTAGATATTTGAAACCAGGACCCCCTGAATATGAATACCCCCTCTACCGCAACATTTCTTTTGTAAAACAACATTTATACTTGAACAACTGAAATAGGAGGGAGAGTCAGTAAATAGGGCACACATGGAAGTAAAACAGCTGTAATGGATGTAACAGGGTTTCTGTTTGTATCACTAGGTAGTAGCACATCCAACTTCATGGCAGTCTAGGTAGCAGATGCGCATGTGCATGTTCAGAGGCTGATTTCAGTAGTCAAAATGGAGACTGCTGAGTAATGTGTTTCTCAAAAGCAGCGTTAGAAATGTTTCCCGTTTACGGTGGGAAGTGCTTGTCGCGTAAAGCGGTTCACATCTGGGTGACAAATGTCTCGCTGATGATGAAGAGGTTGAGTCAGCAGTCAAAAAGACTTCGATGCACTGGTAAAGCAATGGGGCAAGTGTATCGATGTTGGTGGAGGATATCTCGAGAAATAAATGTTCCCCCTCCCAATTTCGAATATCACATGTTTTACGCTTTATACTCGCGACCTATTTACTGAGTCCCCCTCGTACAAATTTAATTCGTGCAGACGCTTGTTTCGAAATAAATTAATTGGTTTGTGTGATGACGTGGAGAGTGGCACAAGGATGTGTGCGGTTTCTGCAAAGCGTCCGTACGGGGCCGAATGACACGCGGCTTCTAAGTGATGGAACAAAGTGCGCTGGAGCACTGGCTTGTCAGTTGTTACGGTGGGCCATCAAGCCAGATCGAGGGAACTCTGACCCCACTTTACGCAGAGCGAGGCCAGCAGGAGCCGCAAGCTGATAACGGCAGTGTACATTACTGCAGGCTGCGACTCGCGGTGTGAAAGCCCGGGTTCGTAACTTGAGACAAACTGTAGGAATGTGTGCCCTCCCTTTTCGTACCAGACATTTCAACTGTCGTCCCTGGCTCAGTTCTAGGACCAATGCCCAGCTGTTCTGATGGATTTACGGTTTCCCCTCCCCCTCCTGGAATAGTTGCCAACATTGAGTCACATCCGTCTCCTTCCTAATACTATCCAATTCACTGTTCACGAACCACACCATCTGAACTGAAGGCACCGTTACGTCTGTATATGTAAATTAGTTTCGCGGTAATGCTCGATTCAGATATCGACTACCCTGACAGGTCTTGGTTTTCCTCAGTCCCTCCAGGCGAATGTCTGGCTAGTGACTAAATCCTCTCCAGTTCATTCAGCAAATGGAGGCGAAATGCCCCATGTGGACACTACTTACGTATTTCCCAAGAATCGGGCAGCTTAGGAAAGAGACCAGCTCGAAGATGCCGAAGACCAGCCCATACTCACTGGCCGAAACGCCTTTCCGCTCTGCCTGCAACAGAGTGACACGAGAAAAGCACTGGAAGCTGTTGGCTGCTTCGACTACCGACAGAGATAATCGCGGGAAAGCAGTAGATAAGGTGAAAAGGGTAAAGTCCCTATGCGTACTTAGACACTGCCACCAAGGCCTATGAAGAAGTGGAGGTATAGCTCCACCTTTATTGGCCTGGGCATTATATGGAGGTGAGTGGTCAGCTTCACGCCCCCCGCCGCTTCACCTGTTCGAAACGGGCCCCTTTGACCCACTGGATGGCCCTCAGATTCTGTCTGGACGCTTTGTAGAAGAGAAAAAGTTTGCATTGCCGGGACTCGAACTTGCGTCCTCCAGCCCGTCGCTATACCGATTAAGCTATCCCGACTCCTAGTAGTGCAGTAGTGTGTACCTAAAATTGGTTATAACTATTAAACATTCAATTTGGACTCCTGAAGCATGCATTTTACAATCGAAACACTATTCCAGCGGTTTCGCTGTGTAAGCGCCTTCGAGACTACACTAGTTAGTTAGTTAGTTAGTTAGTTAGTTATTGGAGAGGGTGGGTTTCCCCATGCACTTAGACTTGTATTGGTCCATTGTGCTTCCCTCTATGATTTCTACCAGTCTCTATATCCTACCGGTACTGGTGCTTACTATCAGTCCCGCCCAGCCAGCGAGACCGGCTCTACTAGCTGAGAGGTATCTATAATGCTTCCCCCCTCTACCAGAGGTATTAGAGACTGCTGTTGGGCGGGAAACGTCCGTAATTTGGCTCAGTGACCTCCTTTGGAGATATGAGGTTCTTAGTCACATCCCAGGATGTAGTACCATTTTAATATTATCCTCCCATCTACTGCTTTGTCTCCCAGGTGTGCTACTCCCCCCAATTGGTTTCGCTGCTCATCTGTACAGGTTTCTCATCGCATGCGTGCTACATATCCCACCCATTTCATCCTAACAATAATATAAGGTGAGGAGTACAAGTTACGAAGCGCCTAATTATGCAGTTCTATCCATCCTTCCAAAATCAGTGTGTTGCCGTTGCCACGTGCAGGTTTGTCTCTTGCTTTCAGAACGCGTATCTCTCAGCCAGCAGACAAAGTTCTTTTTCCGATGCGCCTCCAGTACGCTAAGAGCATGATGCTGTGAAATGATAATATTAAAATGCATTGCCGAGCAGGTTGGCATAGCGGTAACACTCTAGACTCGTATCTCAGCTGGGACATCGGTTGTCGTGACTGAGATGTATTATTGTTTTCCTCAGTCCCTACAGACTGCACCATGCTCGCTCCTTTCAGCTTCTCTCTGAACCTGTCCGCTCGGCACTACACCTATACTCTGACCTACTGACCACGTGGATCCAGCTGGCTTGGGATAGGAACCAGTGTCACTTTCTTGTGAACATGGCATAGAACCTTCGGGGTACATAAAATATGGTAGGTTCCTTGAATGGCTAGGCAACTAATAGCTTCTAGAAAGGGCACTGTTTCATGGCGTTAGTAAACTACATACATACGAGTATATGGGTACCTGCAGGAGGCAGGGCAAATTAGACACCCCCTTACTTTTTTGAAAAAATCGAAATTGTAGGAAAGAAATAATTGTACCAATGGTAACAAAAATGAGGAAGTATGTAGAGCAGCCCTCCTGGGCGGTCAGTAGAAATAGCATTAACCTAACTCCCGGCTGCTACTCCGGCTTCCGCATGTTAACGGCTCCGGATTGTTTTCTCGTTTCGTCTACAGAACGGAATCTGGTCCGGCTTATTATGGCGATCTCATTAATCCAGAAATAGACTAAATGAGCTTAGTTTGTTCCACACTGAAGATCTTACGTCAGCCTTCACAGGTTGAACCATGTGAAAACAAACTCAGTGACATTGCGACTGACGGTCAGTCAGTCAGTAAGTCTTGGCATCGAGCCCCAGATGGGGCTCATGACCATATATTTATTACTGTTTGACAGTTACGGTCTTTTTGTGGGGCGCCCTTTCTAACGAGAGGGCGGGTATGTCTTTTGTATATGCTGCTGGTCCTTGCCAGCGCAGTCTTCCTCGGGTCCGAATCCTTTGAGACTCGGGACCTTGTTTTACTGTCTCAGATTTGAGATTTCCCTTTTCGTCTCCTCCTACGACTCGCAGGGTCACGGTGGAGGTATTCGACCCCGCCTCCACACGGGGGTGTAAACAAACTCGTCTCCACGGTAAGAATTCTAACATTCAGGTCGTACCTCACAGGAAACACAGTACGTCTCCGCTGCAAAGCCCACCCGCTAATGCTGTTTAGGGGAACAGTCGTTGAGAATCGTACGAAACATATGCATGAGGCGTGTAGGCTAAATACAGAGTTTTTGCGTTAAAGCAGGTGACACATAAATTCAGTCGGTGTACATGCCGTTACGTTCGAAGCACAGAAAGACAGAACTCACCTCGGCGGGGTAGAAGGGCGCCTGCAAGGACACGCAGATCGCGCACCCAAAGTGGACGCTGCCTATGACGCAGAGCACGGCCCACTGCTCCCTGGTGAAAGGCGTCGCCCCCGACTGAGAGCCCATGGTGTCTGGCCCCAGCCTCGCCCAACCGTCTGCTTTATACTCTGCAAAACACAGCAGACCTATGCATATTGATTCGTGGTCCGGCGCCACTCAGGGATCCAAAGGATTACACGTGTTTATTTCATGACGCTGGCAGGGTGATACGTGAATTGGAGAGGATCTGGAAGGAGGCTGTCGTGGACTGTTCGTGCTGCTATCCCCCAACATTTTCCTGGAACGTCCGAAGAGAACCACGAAAATCTTCAGGATAGCCTCTGTCCCGGGCGGCACTCTATTACGTATACCAACCCTTTCAGTGAAGAAATGGTAATTATATGTACCATTTGCTTCAAGATTAAAAATGTCTTAATTCTGACCAAGCGGTGTAATTTTGTGTTTCGTATGAATATTGTCCGAAACCGTTAAGTGGTTGGTATTTGTAATGGAGACGGGGTGTGTTTTCTGCGGAGCAGATGTAAAGGGTAAAGTTGTCAGTGCACTTAACTAATTAAGCACTATGCCATGAAAGCGTATGGGGGAGTGGGTGTACAGATCCACGTTTTTTTTACCTCGGCACTGTTTAGATTTTGTGAGGGGTATGAAGTGAATTTTTGAATATGTGCTATTCAGGTGAAGCGCTAAAGTATTTCTGCCATAGACTAAAGCCGCTGCAGCTTGAAGCTGTCTGCTCACATTTAGTGTTTAATTTTAGAATGCGTGAAATTAGGAACTCCGAAAGGAATGTGATGATATTGGGCAGTTTCTGACAACTTCGTTGACAGAGCCATCTAGCGGCTCGGCTTAGCAGTAGCGCCCTAGACCCGTATTCGGAAGGTACTGTGTTCGAATCTCGGTCATTGTACGTAGTTTTTCGTAGTTGTCCTCAGCCCCTTCCGGGAAATGCCACAATAGGACACCACAGTTGTCTTAAAAAATCTCAGCGACACTATATAGTCTAAACAACGACAAAATCATAAAATAACCTACAAAAAAGGCTCAGGACAAATTATAAATTCGTTAAAATCGTGCAAAAACAAAGTACACTCTGCGCAAAGACATACTACACGCATCTCGAGCATAACACTGTGAATGTTTATGTTCCGAACAAAATGTGATAGAGTGTGGCTGGAGACGAGGTTCGGATTGGTACCTGGACCTACAGAACGTAACTACAAATAGCTGTGACAGTCTCACTCCCAAGACCATTGTAACTACAACACACATAGTCTTCACTTGCCGTTGCTTGGTAGCGGCTCCAACCGCGGACATTCCCCTTACTCTGGGTTCCCAAAGTGTGTTGTAGTTCAATTGTTTCAATGGGAACGTGTTTGTTTGAGCGCGGTCGTTGCCCATCAGCGGGTCTACGTGCTTCAATGTATATACCAGGGGTCTCCAAACTTTTCGAACCGCGGGCCACATTAGGTAATTCAGCACTTTCAACGGGCCGGATAAAATGAGAAATTAATAATTCTAGGTATATGAGTTTTATTGAAAGCACAGAATTTCATAAACTATATACGAAGTACGTGAGAATAAATTATAGTATATTAATGACAACAGAGAGTAGCAGAAAATGCTCATATTTTCATCACAAATTATATTAAAACAGTTAATGTGAATGATGGAACTCTTTTTGTATTCTTAAAATATGATTAAATTGAAGTTCAAATTTTGAAACGCTAATCACAAGCAGCGACTTTAAATGTTCATCGGATAAATTTGCCCTGTATTTCGACTTGATATACTTCATCTGGGGAAAAGTTTGTTGACACAGATATGTCGTCTCAAAAAAGGAGATAAATTTACAAGCAAATTTCTTTAAATTTGGAAATTGCTCAGAGTTCAGAAATTTATAAAATTCGATCAAATTTCCTTCCTTGTATATATGATAATTTTCCTGAAGTTCAGTAATTTCCATTTGAATTTGACTTGGGACATCTGCAGCATCACAGTCAAACGGATTTTGAAACAATCTAATTTCCTGAGCACTGGCATTCAAATCAGCAAATCGCTTCCGAAATTGTTCTTTCAAATCTGAAATGACTAAATTTGCAAACGGGGAACGAAATTCTGCTTCACCCTTTTTATGCAACTCTGCACAGTATAGCATATGAACAAAGTTACAATTTTTCACTTGCCTTTCCAGAAGTATCAACTTTGCTCTGAATGCCTTGATAAGTGCAAATAAATCACAGACTAAGTTATTTTCACCCTGCAACTTTAAATTCAAATTGTTCATATGGTTCACCAGATCAGCAAAAAATTCTAATTTCCAAAGCCACTCGGTATCTGATAAAAGTGGTTCGTGATGGTTTTTCTCGGTAAGAAATATATCATTTTCATTCCTGAGCTGAAAGAAGCGCGAAAGAACCTTGCCACAGCCAAGCCATCGAACTGCAGTATATGTCATGTCAATAAACTCGGAATCACATTTATCAGTACTCACTGGAAAATTACTTCAATTGGCGCATTTCTGCACACTTCTTCGCGGGCCGGATATGGCCCGCGGGCCGTACTTTGGATACCCTTTGTATATACCATGAGGAATTGTAAGGAAGCCGATAAGCTGGATCTCAGGTTATGTTGGACAACGCTCAGGTCACATTGGCGGAGACCCGTTGTACCAAACAATGCCGAAGTGCAACATAACAGTTTAAACCAAATGTACTCTCATTACTCTAATACATTTCAGTCAAGTAGCAACGTTTCCCTCGGTATTTTGGTCTGAAACAGATGAAACACTTCGACAGACAGACAGACACGACCAAGAAAACATGCTGTAGCGCATTCCTACCTGTCACGTGTCAAGAATCTGGCTCCTTGGAGCTGCTTGTCGCCGCTGTCCTGTGCCCATGGACCACGGGCCACCTCTGGCTGATGTGTAGCCCGAACGACCCGAACGAAGTTTTATTGACATTGGCAGCTAGGAGGAGGGGGCTGGTGGGGGACGGTGACAAATAGGAAAGAACTGTTACGTCAGATTGACCCCCAGGAACCTCGGCAAAAAAAAAAAATGATATATTTGTTTGCATGTATGTCATCAAGTTTGAGATAGCGCACAAGGGAGATGTCGGGCGTTAGTTCTGCGAGAAAATTGCATCCCAAAGAAAGAAAGCAGGAGTTGTCAGTATTGGGTGTACCACGAACAGCTTCCCATGGTTTTCTGCCAGTCAGAAGATGCGAATACTGTCATTTAGTTATTTGTGTCTTTGTGATTTGAAGTCTGAAACTCATCTGCATCATATATAAAGATTCAGTTCGTACCTCACAGGAAACATGACGTCGCCACTACAGAGCCTTACCGGTTAATAGTACTCAGTTATTGTGAGAGCCATACGGAACACATAAATACACCGTGTGGGGGCAGAATGCAGAGTTTCTCTACGTTGAAGCGGATTGCTCGAAAGACTAATTAAGACATCTTATATTGCAGACGACGGTTTTAAGTCCAAAGAAAGTTTCTATATCTTCTTTCTCTTTGTCACTACGTGTTTGGTGCGTTGACTGCGAACAGTTGATACCCGGACTGTGCTAAGGGTTCTATAATTGGGGTTCAGTTCTCGGCATGTGACTTGTTAATGTAGCTGCGACGTTTCGGCGACACAAAATACTACCAGCTTCAAAATACGTGTAAGATCATTCTCAAATTTCAGCAGAGGAAACACAAAGTGCATAACCTGAATAAATGATTCAGCCTTGGTGTTGATTTTGCTCTTATGCCTGTGCACCGTTTGGATGTGGCAGCGTTGCCCATGTTTTGATGGTACGTACTGCCTCCATCGTCAGGGTACAAGTGAATATGTCATGTGAATCCTGGTGCAGACACCTTTCTTCTCCGTCCCTTTTTTCCTTGGCGTTATTCCTGCCAGCTGCAAGACTGCAGCATGGAATGGAACGAGGGACTGAGGAAAACCATGAAAAACCTCAGAGAGGATATCCGGTGTCCCAGCCAAGAATCGAACCAAGCACCTCAGTACAACAATGTAAGCTTTACCACTGCGTAAGTTCGATTGGTCCTGCGGTTTTACTGCACCACCACGCGTTTTCACAACCTGCTCACTTGGGTTGAATATGGACGCGACATGAACCTCCGAAACGTCGGCAGGACTGCCCATATCCACACGGTGCAGAGACCCAAGAGCAGAGTCAACAGCGCTGCCTGCAGATGCAGCTGTAATTGTGAGGGGACACATTTAGCACACAGACTGTGGTCTCATTTGCTGGACAGTGACGTACGGGAAAGTCGGTCCCGGGTTCGAATGAGCTCCCTGTCTTTCTGTTGTCTCTCGTCGCCCTTCGCGTTGCAGCAGCGTCGTCGGTCTGGCCACTACGCGTCTTTCGGCGGCGCCTGACGCAGGGCCGTGAAGTCTGGCATGCCAGCTCACGGCATGTAATGAGGAGGAGATCTCATTCGAACTCGGAGCCGTTCCTTTCTTTCCATTCTATCTAAGTTCCCAGCCCATCGTACTGTTCAGAGTTTTACTACCTTAATAATTCTTCTAGCCGCACTATGGACCCTGGGGTCGACGTAGCTTATGGCAGAAATGGGTACCAGGACTCTTCCTGGGAGTAAAGGGCGGCCGGCGAGTAGGGCTGACAACCTTACCGCCAATTGTGAGCCGATTGTCTAGAAAATGTGGGAGCCTCGACGTCTCACAACCCTGTGGGCCTCCACGGCCTGTTGCAGGGATAGCTTCACCTTTACATTTTAACAATTTCTGATTCCCCCACGTGTTCTTCCTTTATCACCTGCCGGACGTGGTGCAAACTGTCGTCTGTTAAGTTCCGGTCTTCTTCTGGCAGGTTGCAGTAAACACTTCCTGCGCAAATGTATCCCAGCCGGGCGTCGACCCTGGTCTCACAGTTTCCCGCAGTTATCGTATCTCATGCAAGAATAGCGCGTTATAATAGACCATGACCGCTTCCCTCCCAGTTGAGAAGTCGACTGGTCCAGAGGCAGAGCTGGGTTCGAATCTCGCCCGGGCTGCCGACTTTTCCGACTGAGATATTTCGTAGGTTTTCTTCAGTCGTTCCAGATCGTAGCCAATTTAATTTAACGTCTCAATGTCCGCCGTTATGATGTCTGGACACTGACCAAGAGGGAAGGGGAAAGCAGAGCTGACCTTCGGCTCCGCTGCCCATCGCTTGGACAAACATCGTGCCACAGGGGTGAGCAAAATGCGCTCCTTGGTAATGCCAACACGAGCATTTCATTTGTTCCTAATATTTCTTGTGTCGTCCCTGTCAGTAAAGGCGAAGCTATCCCTGTAACAGGCTGAGGAGACCCACAGGGTTGTGAGACGTCGAGGCTCCCACATTTTCTAGACAATCGGCTCACAGATAGCGGTAACGTTGTCAGCCTTACGCGCCGGCCGCCCTTTACCCCCGGGAAGATTCCTGATACTCGTTTATGTTAGATGCTGAGTCGACCCCAGGGCCATAGTGAGGCTGGGAGAATTAGGTCAATTAAAAAGTACAGTGACCTCATCGGGACTTGAACACGCGACCTCCTGGCTTGCAGCAACCAACTACGCTGCCGCGTGCCCCACGCTCAGACTTTATAGCGTCGAATATTAGAATGGTGAATAATGAACTGGAAAGGATTTGTAAGGAAGCGGCCATGACCTACTGGAGGTACTATCCTAGCATCGACTGGAGGGACGAGGGCTAACGACTAGACTTCTCGTTGGGCCAGCCGGTGCCCCTGAGCCAGCCCGCTTCGTGCCGGTCAGTGTTGCTTGTTGCGAGACGTGGGAGGGATCAGGGTGTTCATGTTACCAGTGGGCATAGGGAGGATAGGGAGTGTTAGTTTGCTTGCCTGTCTGGTCCCGCAAGCTGGAACACTTTTGCTCTCTGTCACTCCGTGCACTCGAAACAAGGACCATTAGAAGGGCAGAGTAACATGTGACGTAGCGGCCGCGCCATAGCTCAAGCGGTTAGTCGCTGGCTTCCCGATCCCGGGTCTGGTCAAGTGGGATTTGTGGTAGACAAAGTGGCGCTGGCTCAAGTTTTCTCCCAGTACTTCGGTTTCCCCTGCCAGTCTTCATTCCACCAATTGCTCCACAATCACCGTCACCTATCATCTGGGGCTGGTACAATAGCCCAGAAGTGGCCGCAGTACAAGGGACTTAGTCCCACCCCACTAGCAATAAAAAAGACATGTGACATACATGTTGCAGGGACTTCAGGCCATTATGTCGACACGGATTCCTTATCATCTTGCGGGTCTGCGTCACAGATGCGTCAAACTGTGCGTAACATATGTGTAAGCCAACCGCACACATACAGCCACGCCCCGTTTAGCCTTCTGTCCAATGGGCACCGGGGGTAACGCGGCCGGGACGTGAAGCTGACCACTCACCTCCAACTAGTGGACCTATACCTCCACTCCCCCATACGTGTCCATGACGTGGTGTTTAAAGTATGTACTCAACTGTGAACAGCGTTTTTCGTTTCTCGTGTTTCGATGCTGGTTAGCGAGTCTTTTACTCTATTACGATTTCAAGAACGAATATCCATAACTGTTATTATAGCACGACTTCTCAGAACGCGGTTCGGTTGGCGCTGTCCTTATCAGAAATGCATTCAGCGCTCCAGAGGAGTGCGAACGTGTCTACGTAACCCAGATCGTCGGGTACTCGCGACCCTTGAAGTTTCGTGAGCATTTCGGTTCCTTCTTCACTGATGTCTGTGTCTCAGCAAACCATGGGTTCGAACGGATCTGTTTCCGCACAGCCACGAGAGCGGTCAGAGGTTCGCTACGGGCCAATCTCAACTTGATTTTAGTTGTCGGGGCTTCAAATGGGCCACAGCCCCTGATGACAGAATTTAAGTAAGTGTGATCACGTTCTACAGGCATGTGAACAACGGACATGAGAGAAAACATTGCTGGAGAACGCAACATCGGTGGAATGATAATTGGTAGGGGAAACCCGAAGTGTCCGGAGATAAACCTGTACCAGCGTCACTTTATCCACCACAAATCCCACAGGAGCTAAGCCAATGGGCGCTATCCTACCCACATAAGCCCACCCCCATAAGAGGCTTCTTTATTCTTAGACCAACTTCTTGGGCTGTCACGTGATATTTCGTGACGGGGTTCCCCGCCAAACTCTGTACGCAGACGTTCCCCTCCCAGTTCCAATGCCTGCAGGACATTGCGGCGCCTAGGCGCTGTTGCGAAACCCTGAGCGCTTCCTGTCACACAGCTTTCGGCGGGAATCAGCCCCCACCTCCGCGCGGAGTGCGTCCATTTGTAACCATGGCAACAGTGCACAACATGTCAGATCCCCGCCATATGGTTACGCTATCTTTGAAAGCAGAAAAGTTCTTCCAGGCGCCAGTAAAATTCGCCACTCTCGAGTATCGCGACTGTGTTTATGAGGATTTCTCTCTTCTGACAGTTTTCGGAGCGAAAGGGAGAACCGATGGCCCTGGGCAACAGGGGAACAGTGGCCCTCTATAGGGCCATTTCCGCAAGGGCGAAGTACAAGTAGATGAAACGTTAACCGAAGCCGATTCCAAGGGAAGAGTCATAAGCCCTGAAAATGGAAACAGCATGATGCTGCGAAACGTCGCTAAGGTAGACCAGACTATACGACGTCAAATCGAAAAAGCGGTAACGACTATGACTTCAGGGGGTGCCCCGTTCGAATCTTGGCCTGGGCGGCGACTATCTCGACCAAGATGTTTCATAGTTTTCCTCAGTCCCTTCAGCCGAAGGAGCCGGGATAGCTCAGTCAGTATAGCGACTGGCTACGGTCTGGACGATTGGGGAGTTGGCGTTCGAGTCCCGGTAGTGTCAATTTTCTTCTTTTACCGTCTTCCAGACCGGTCCTCGGCCCCATCCAGCATCCTGTCCACTGGGTACCGGGGGTGAAGTGG